CAGCTCTAGATCTTTATAGAAATAGTCTTAGTCCTAGGTCTGCAGTACCCAAGTTAAATTGCTCTCTTCAAAGTTTTATTGAGATTTACCACCTGTGCTAAGAGCTTTACAAGTATTATCTCATTTCACCCTCAAAACAATAACATCAGGTAGTTATATCAGAGAAAGTAAACCACTTCCCCCAGGACCACATCCTGTGAAAAGTGGAGCAGGTACCTAAATACTAACATCAGAGAGAGCTGACTTAACTGGGTTGCTCTTTTCACCTCTGTGAGCCTCAGAATCTTCTGTGAAATGAGTGAGTTGGGCTGGATCCTCTTTCTCCCCGGGGATTCGGAGAAGCTAAGTCTGGTGGGCTAAGCTAAATGAGAAAAGGATTCTGTGGACAATTTCGTTTGGGAAATTCTGAGTTATATAAAGTGTGAAAGGGTGTGTTTTTTCTTGTTAAATATCCTTGACTTAAAAAAAATCTGTATTTAATTTATTTCAGAGAGGAAGGGAGAGGGAGAGAGATAGAAGCATCAATGATGAGAGAGAATTATTGATCAGCTGCTTTCTGCACATTCCTACTGGGGATGGAGCCTGTATCCCGGGCATGTGCCCTGACCGGGAATCGAATCGTGACCTCCTGGTTCATAGGTGGACACTCAATCACTGAGCCACACCTGCCAGGAATAAAAGGCTTTTTTCTTTCCCCTTTCCTATTGTTATTCATGCAGATGCATTTATTGAATGCCTTCTAAGCGAGGCCTCCAAAGAGGTAGAGCCTCCAAGCCAAGACACAGTCTCTGCCCAGTGGAGTTCATTCTGTGTAGAAAACAGACGTTGAGCGAAGCATGGCGGACACCTAGGGTGTCAGGGTGTCTGGGTGTCCATGAAGGGAATCAGGAACGCTCAGCAGGGGTGCGGGCCCTCAAAGAGACTTGGGGGGTGGATAGTTGCTGCTCAGGTTAAGGGATGAGTGGCAAAAGCAAGAACCTGGAACATGAAAGAAACTGGTCAAAGTCCAGGCTGAAGCCAGATCTTGATGGAACTTAGACGCCTTTGGGAGATTTTGGACTGTATCTCAAGGGGAGTGATCTTGACACGTTTGCAGAGATCTTTCTGGTTACTCTGTAGAGAACAGGTTGATGGAGGCAGAGCTGTTAGGAGGCCTGTAGTGTTTTCGAGGAGAGAAGCTGGTGCTGCTGAGTGATGGCAGTGAAAAGGGAGGAAGAATTTAATTTTAGGAGATAAGGGAAGAGAGGAGCCGAAACCGGTTTGGCTCAGCGGATAGAGCGTCGGCCTGTGGACTGAAAGGTCCCAGGTTCGATTCCGGTCAAGGGCATGTGCCTTGGTTGTGGGCACATCCCCAGTGGGGAGTGTGCAGGAGGCAGCTGGTTGATGTTTCTCTCTCATCGATGTTTCTAACTATCTCTCTCCTTTCCTCTCTGTAAAAACTCAATAAAACATTAAAAAAAAAAAAAAAGGGAAGAGAGGAGTCAGAATGAATTCCCGGGTTCCCGGCTACACCGTTGGGTGGATGGGTGCTGGTGCCAGTGCCTGGAATATGGAACAGGTGATATTGATATGGAGAATATTTATGAGTCAGTGGCGACCGGGATGTGTTGAGACCGATGAGCTCCATTTGGAGCTGACACTGCAAACCCCTAAAATAAATTGTGTGCAGCGTTCGTCAAGATGACTTGACCTATAATCTATTTCTTCTTGGCAAAACATGTCTCGGGGCGAGGGTTCCATGGAGCACTGATAACCAGAAAGTAAATTGCATTGCCTGATCTTTAAATAAACGTTTCAACTCAAGTAGAAGAAAGAGACAGAAAGTGCACAGTTATTGCGTTTTTACAGTTAGCACACCCTGCATCCACTGCCTAGAACAACAGAACACATTATCACAGAAGTTTCCCCTATGGTCTGATTTTAAAGTGTGTAAATCAAACACTGAGTTGTCACAGAGAGGATGCTTTAATTATGTTCAATTTGTAACAATGAAAATACATCTTGCATATCAGATATTTACATTATGATTCATAACAGTAGCAAAATTACAGTTATGAAGTAGCAACGAAAATAATTCTATGGTTGGGGGTCACCACAACATGAGGAACTGTACTAAAGGGTCGCGGCATTAGGAAGGTTGAGAACCACTGAGTTACAGGGTTAATGAGAATATGAATATCAACCTCTGCTTCCTGCCCAGGGAGTGGGCTGCAGGACTAACGCCTCCCAACAAGCAGCCTTCACTGGCAGTTCAGTGTCATACCCTGAATGAATGAATGAATGGATTTATTTCCTGGGCTGAAACGTTCTTCTTTGTCTCTTTCCACTGCCGGCTCGCCTGTCTCCTGGCCCTAAATTTAATGTCTTGCCCATTGGAGAAGCTATTCTCCACCCCCAGATGAGGCCAGGCCCCCTCTCTTCCTAACACTTAGCACTGCTCCTCACAGCCACCAGAGGGCGCCAAGCCTGTGAGGAGACTGAATGAAGCAGCCTGAAAACGTGGCCAACCGCTGCACTTCCTGGGTGCAAGTCTCTTCCATCTACTAGTGACTAACTTTGTGA